TTAACTTTGTTTTAAGAATCAAACTCTCCGCTCAATTTTGAACAATAGACATTCTTACCCCCTTATCCTGTGCAATGTCTATTTCCCTCAACATTTTCAATTATTCATCTATGTAATACTTTTTTATATTATAATATTTTATTTTTTAACCTTGATATTTTACCGATAGTTTAAATAATTTTATACCTTATTATAGACTTGTATTTAAGTTCATTATCATTTTAAGTAAAAAAAATCTTGTTATGAATTTGTCACAGAATTTGACGCTATTTTTTTATGATTGTTATTTTAATTCTACATGCATTAAATGTTTATGTGTGCATGAGTTTAGTGTTTACTTACTCTCTCTTATATTCTTTTTCTATATAGATAAATAAATTTTGATTGTCATTAATGAAATATTTTCAAAATTATAATTTAAAATTTATTTAAAATATAAATAGGTAATCATTTAGGAATTTAATCATTATAAAATGTATCTCTATTTTTATTAATTATTTTCTTACATAATCTATATTGGAATATGTTTACAAGTCTGAATGGTATGAATGGGTGGAAAGGAGTAGGAAAATGATGCGAAGGTCCACTGTGAGCAGAAAAGCTATGGAGTGGATATGCTTTTGTATGAAAAGAGGCCTCGAAAGATCAGAAGGAGATCAGGAGATGGAGATTTTTTTGAACCTCAAAGGCATCTCCTGGACCATGCCCAAGAAGGTCTCTGGCTTTGAAGAGTTGGGAGGCAACAGGGGTAAATGCAAAGGACAGAAACAGATGGAGAATCAACCCTGCTAGTATATGGTGGACTATTTGGAAAGAAAGGAATTCTAGGTGTTTTGAGAGCATAGAAAACGATGTCCAGAAAGTCAAGTTAAACTGCATTTTATTGGTTATGTTTTTGGTGTAATCAAGTATACTCCAATGACACTGTATCAGTAATTGATGTTTAAGACTCAATATAGACCGAAAACAGTGGAAAAGGAGACATTTGTATATAATGGTTTCAGTACAAGGGTTGTACTGTTTTGTGATATAATACAAAGTTACCTATTTCAATAAATAGACCAAAAAAAAAAAAGGATTCTTTATTACCTATTTCAAAAAAAAGACAAAAAAAAAGGATTCTTTATTACTAATTACCTGTTAAAAAAAAAGGATTCTCTATTACTAAAGGTTATCTATATTTTCTACCGAAATGCAAATCAGTAATGAACAAAAAGGACTCCTGGCAAACAACATACTAATATAAGTGTAGCAACATTAAAAAACCTTATCCTATCCATTGGAATTACTATGGATCTTGTGCTTCATTTATATTTTGTTGTTTGCTAATTCAACAAGAATTTCAAGAACTTATAAGTCCTTTAAGACAACTTTGTCCATGTGATTGAATTGTTTACCTCGTCCATTAACATTCAACCATCATAGTGTCACACCGGTGCATCTGAACTTCTAATTGTAGGCATTTCCAAACTACAATTCAGGGACTTCTTTCCTTTTATCTTCTACAGGTGCTTTTTGTACCTTGTCATAATCATCACTTATTTTGTCTAGTTTTGTATGACCACACACCATCATACCATTCACATTTTTACAACACTCATTTTTTTGATATATCGGATCTCAAATACCCAACACTCACTCCATAAATCATCATTGGTCCCACAACTGTCTTATAAAACCTATCTTTCACGCTGGTATGTATCTCTATATTGCATACCACTCCTCCATTTCAACTATAGGGCTTTAAAATATGTGTTGCGTCTTCGTCGATCAGACTATCACAATTCACACCATTGACGTGGAAACAGAACCTAGACACATGAATGATCTATGTGAACTCACTTTGATGATCTCAGGACCTGAATAAAGAAGTGGTGTGACATTATGTCTAGAGATTGAATAGAGAAATGATATTACTGTTTATCCTTACAGTAAGGAATTGATAAGAGAAATGGTATCAAGTATTTTGTAATGTCCCGAAATAAAGTGTCATATAAATTGGGAGAACTAGAGTGTTGATAACAAGTCTTCAACAACATAACCAATAATAGTTAGTAGCGAGATCTGTTCTAAATTGAAAGCTAAACTAGCAAGTAAAACTGATGAATTGGCAATCCTCTTCCAACAAAAGCTGGAAAAAACAACTAATTTTAGATTAAAACTTAGCATCTAAAAGCACAAAAAACACATGGGACTTGAGTCCTACATTGATACAGAAATGTGTTGATGTGGGGCATATGTAACCTTGGGTTCTCCCATTCCAATAGCTACCTTTTAGGGTGCTATTCTCCCTGAGTTATACAAAGGGTATGAAAGCCACCCACTACCCTTCATACTCATCTTGCTATGAATGGTGATGCAGGTATTGCAGTGTTCCCTCGGGACTAGCTGTTTTTGTCGCACGTCTACTAAAGCATTCTCTTACTCAATTTTTTCAGTGATGTCTGTGATTTCTCATTAAAAGTAAGATTATTAATATCCTACCTTATAAAGTATATCCCTCCAACCCAATAGCCATACATTTTTCAATTGCCTTCCAAATAAAGTAAGGAAATTTAATCCTGAGATTTTGTTAGGCTGTTCTCCTAAGCCCTAATTTTCTTTTCATGAATTTGAAAGCTCAAATGTATTTCTCTTTTGCATCTTCTGGATGCTTTCAGTGAAACTTTGTACTTTGTCAAAATAAAAATAAAAAAATCTTTCCCATCAATCTCTCTAACTACTAATCATGTATCTAGAATTTATAGGTTACATGCCCTGAAACCCAATTTCTCTATGTAAAAAAAAAGACGGAATAACCAAAGCACCATTTGCATTTAACATATGCAACTAAAAAAAGCTGTAATAATTTTTCAAAAGAAGCAGCGTTCTCGATTGGAGTACAACGAAAAATGAATCGTCGCAATAACAAAATGATAAATCACAGGTAAATTAACACCAATCTCGACAAAGATTTAAACTTTAAGAACAAAAAGATCTGCATTTAATCATACCATACTAATAATTGAAATGCTGAAAACCAAGAAACAAAACTCAGACAAGCATAAATTCAAACCTGTTTGGGCAAAACTCAATTGTTTCTGCAATTAAATTCCATCAAGTGCCAAAAAAGGGGGAAAACGTTCCACAGGGTATACACTAAATTCTCTTAAATGAAAAGAACTAAGCAGGCCCAGACATCAGGGGAAAGTTGTTTTGGGCCAACAACTCTTGTGGGCCAAAAAGACAGAGACAATTCTGAAACCCATTTAGGTTTTAATGAGAAGGAACAAGAGGACCAAATTAGAGACATAAATGGGCTTTCAGCCATTAAGTCTTTAGCCTCTCAGTTCCTGGAAGCAGTCAAAGCGTGGGAGAATTCAACAGAGGATGTAATAAAGGAGAAGATGGCGGGAGAAAGAGTAGCAGGTGAGAAGAACCACATGCAAACACAAAAATCAAAACAGATCATTGAATTGAGTAGCATGAGTGAGCATTCCGAAGAAGAGATTGCGACCAAAGATTTTAACCAGACAGAACTACAGCTGCAACAAATCCTTGATGCTGAACCAGTGGCTATGCAGAACTTGACAGAGGAAGATCTGGCTGAAACCAAGGCATCAAATTGGGTCAATTCACATATATTGGAGTTGAGCAACACGTATGGGGTAGCATTTGAAGGATTTGAGAAGGAAACACTTGCACTACTCATGAGAATCGATGGAAGGAAAACAGAGCTTGATAACAAGAGGCAGGGGAAAGCTATTACCACCCCAAAAAGTAGGGGCATAGGTAAGAATGAATTGAAGAAGCTTCAACCTAGTCTTAACAAAGAGGTTGAAGGTGCTACAAACAGGGGGAGGGTTCTAAATCTGACCTTTAAATGAATATTAAACTGATCACATGGAACGTGAGGGGTCTTAACAACAACACTAATAAGAACCTGGTTAAGACGTGTTTGCAAAAATGGAAAGTGGATGTGTTTGCCTACAGGAAACCAAGGTGAATAAGGGGATTGCATATCAACTATGGTCTTGCAGATGGATGAAACTCGGGTTCATTGAAGCAGATGGAAGCAAGGGGGGAATACTTCTTATGTGGGACAGTAGATTATGGACGGGCACTAAGGTGGAGGAAGGGACCTATTCAATCACTTACAAATTTGAGTCTACACATAATTACTTTCCCTGGTATTTCACTGGAGTATATGCCCCACACAGAAGAAACGAAAAGTTAGAGTGTTGGGAAGAGATGGCTGCAATGAAGGAGTTGTGTGGAAGACTGTGGGTCACAGGTGGAGATTTTAACACTGTGAGGCACATGGTGGAAAGAAGGAGGTACAACAGAGTCACAAACGTCATGAATGATTTCTCTAGATGGATTGAAGAATTAGAGCTACATGATCCTTGTCTAATAGGAGGAAAATTCACCTGGTTCAGAGGAAGTAACCACCAAAGTGCAGCTAGACCCCATTTGAAAAAGAGAAGGCTCACAACAGTCCATTATTATTTGGATTTAGGCTCAATAGTCCCTACTCTCTCGAAGGTCTAGACCTATGTATGAAGGAAAATTTGTTAAAATTGCCTAGAGATTTTGTTTCTCACCTATAATTACTTCAAGTTAATTACTTAGTATGTAAATATGCTTCTGGCTGAATGATTGGAAGTTCATTATACCAGCAAGGCTTCCTAGCAGTTGTTAAATGGGTAGAGATTCAATCGACTAGGTGACAATATTAGTACAAGTCAAAAGCTGTAAATTGAGTTGGCTGTGATAAAATCTCCCCGCATGGATATAGTATGACTAATTTAGTAGAAAATTAATATTCTACAATCAGTAACTCTCTTTCTTTTTCTTTTTTCTCTACCAAAAGTTCCACAACAAAAATCTAATAATTCTAAAATTCAAAGTCAAAGCTTCACATAGAAAGTAAACAAGATGAAAAAAATGAAGATTCTGGCGAAAGAAAACCTACCCAGGAAACATAATAGCTTAGAACACTTATAAAAGTAAAAAGTTACCTGATAGATCTGAGCCTTGATTGCCATCTTCTTTGAATCAGACCCATCAATTCCTCTTCAAAAATCACTGTGCGTGGCATCTCTTCCTCGAAATCTCTGGTGGTGACCATGATCAGCTGAACCAGAAATCTACGAAACAACATAGTAGAAAGTAATATAGGTTGTCGGAGAGGGAGCTGTGATGGAATCTGTCATATTTTGCCATAGCTCTACGGCCATACTTGTACTTGGAGAAGATGAAGAAGAGGAAACCACAATATAGCTTCCTCCAACAATTGAATGAAATTGAAAACTAATCTACACTAAAATAACAAATAACCTTGAGTTTTTTTACATCATGCTTGGATGATTACTTATATTGGATTGGTAATATTAGTTTAAATATTATATTTATTCATTTATTTTTAGTTACTCAAATTTTATTGTATTAGTATTTAATTTAAATGCAACATTGTTTGATAGTTCTGTGTTGTTTGTTTACATATTGTTGTGTATTCTCACTTATCTTTATTTATTTTTATTTTATCTAACTAGTGAAATTTGAAAATAAATAAATAATGCAACAATCAAAAGTGAAAATAAGTTTTGTGGTGTTTTCCAAATTCCATGTATAACTTTAAAATGAAATGGTATCATTGTCAAACGTTGATTTTCAAATAAAAAATTTTTAAAAAATGATTTTTCTTTATTAATTTATATGTAATTTGCAGTTTCAATAGGTCAATAAATTAAGATCTTACCACAAAGGTTTCTGAACTTATTTTTCATGATTATCCTAAAAATAATAAGATAAAATAAGTTGAATATATCATTTGCATATTTTTTAGATGTACCTAAAATGTTTGCACCTTTTGTGAACTTCAACACTATATTATCATAAGGGATAAGGGTTTGAAAAATACCCCAACTTTGGTCGGATTTGTTGTTGCGATACTAAACTTTCATGAGGACATATTACCTCCCTAGACTATTTAATACCGTATTTTAAACATATATATTTGCCCACGTAGACATAAAAAGTAATGCAAAATTATAAATAGTAATGTGTCCACGTGGGCACATATATACCTTTAACCCACGTGGACATAAAAAGTAATGCAAAATTATAAATAGTAATGTGTCCACGTGGGCACATATATACCTTTAAAATACACTATTAAATAGTTCAGCGGGTAAAAATTACGGTATTAAATAGTCTAGGAAGGTAATAGGTCCTTATGAAAGTTTAGTATCGCAACAGCAAATCCAACCAAAGTTGAGGTATTTTTCAGACCCTTATCCCTATCATAAATATATTGATGTTTAAAAAGAAAAATCTAAACTATATCATTTTGTACTTTCATACTTCAATTATTGAGCATTCTTGTAACCTCTTGAACTATTTCCTTTAGATTGAGAACTCTCCCATTAAAAATGTGACAAAATATTTGGAATACCTTGTTGAGAGACGCATGGGAGATAAAAGAATCCTTAAAAATGAATCTACCTAACACAATGAGTCATGGTGGTTCAAGAGATCTGTTCTAATAATTTAAATATGGAACTCACAAAACAGTCATTGAAACTCTACGGAGGAGCTTTTGAACAGTGATGTAGCATGCCATATTCCTCTCATTACGAGTTTATGGTAATTAAGAGGGGTTTTGTGAATACCGAATAGTTTAAATATGAAACTCCCAAAATAGTGATAGAAAAGAGAGCTTACAATGCTTGGCAATACATATGTAAATGGATACAAGTCTGTCAAAGAGAATAGACTAAAAACTTACAAAATTACAACACAGAAGTAGCATTACGCTACATGGAAGATCTGTTTATATGTCTCCCTATGCTACAAAGCTACTCTCCCTTTTGCCACCAAAAGGATAATACTTGCTGCTAGCAAACTGGATGCTGATCCACGTCCATTCAAGATGACAAGGTTTTATTATGTTTCATATACACAAAGTTTTACATATTTTACTGGATCTCAACTCATGAAGCAAAACATTCTTAAAGTTGTCAAATTGCAAGAGATCCCACCTCATCCACTTTCCAGAGTTCTTCATACTTATACCACCTCATCAGCCCTTCATCATTTCGACAGCGCTGACACATGATGCATGAGTCACTCATGCAGGTTAGGAATTTGTGTAACCTAGATGCTTTTTCGAGAATTGAATCATCAAGCTTGGCCAGAATTTTCTTTGGTGCAGGTGGAGGATCTTCAGTAATTACGCAATGAGATATGTTGAGCACTTCCAACTTTTTTAACCCGTCCAAGATAGTAACCAAGGCACTTTTAGATAACAATGTGCACCTCACACTCAACACTTTCAAGTTTGGAAGAAATGATACTAGTGTAGATGCAAAGAGCATATCACAGGGCCCCATTATCTTTAGCTCAGCAAAATTTTTGCAACTCCTTGCAATTTCCTCCATGACATACGGAGGATTTGCTATACTAGGCATCGTCAGTGATTCAAGATCTTCCCACATATGAATAGCCCTGCATATTCCTGTCTTCTTTATTCTGTTCCAAGCAGGCATAACAAGACGTTTTAGACGTGGACACCTGAAAAGGAGGAGATTTAATTAGCTGTCTTCTTCGTTCTCACAGTAAACTTTGCTTCACCTGAATTAGAACAATGGAAGATCATAGGGCATGTCAGATGCCTGAACTCTGGAATGATGCTTGCTGTCGGTTTCTTGATTTAAGTTATAGTACTATAGAAAGATGAAGGTTTATTGGGGGAATACCTCTCAGCAGTATAAGTCAACTGATCGTCGCTGACATACAAATTGTAATGGAAGATTAATGTTCGTATGTTTCCACTACTGAGGTTCAAACAAATCTTCAGGAGGCTGGTCAATGTTTTATCAGACTGACAGTCCACATATACGTATGGCTCTAACGGGATTTTGATATAATTTGACTTTAATATTGACAAGTCCAGTGTCATCCAAAGAAGTTGATCAGAACAAGCCAATCGCCACGCACTACAAACATGAGCAAGTCCAGAAGTCAGCTCAAAAAGGTCAAAAGACTGGAGTATCTTCACCAAGATATCAATATCAAGGTCCTCCCATCTCCTTACAGAAGAATCTCCTTCTTCCATCACAAAATCTTCAATCTCCTAAATGTTTGGGCATAAAAGCTCCTGTAGAAACAAGAAAGGTTGTTACTTCTCTAGATCCATAAAGAATATTTGAATTCTTACGTCAAATTAATGTTGCTGATTGTCATTTTGTTTTCTTGTGAATATACTCGGACCGTGAAGCAGAAAAGTTAAGCCCTGCAATACGAAGAAGCATAGAAGAATGTACAAATACATCTGAGTACTGGGATTCCCAAAAGTGAAGAAACTAGGAAAACCTGACCTGGAACTTAAGTTGGTTATAGAAAACGACAGGGAACTAAGTTCTTGCTGCCATAGCTGACGGAAGTATCACATTTTGGATAAACATAGTCATTACAAAAAGCAAAATGATACAAAAGGAGGACGTAACATTGATTTGCACATAAAATTCCCTAAAGAGGGAAGTTCAATGTCCCTGGCATTCGGATAGAAAAGCAGAAGACTAGTTATATGTTTTGAAGAACAAGACAAGTAACTGGGGAATGGGGCAAGTGTCTGCTGAAAAAGATGCATCTGGTTTCCAGGAATCAAATAGAAGGGAATGCAAAAACTTAATACTCCATCCCTTCTATTTTTCGTGAATAGGAACGAAAATAAATTAGTTAACAAGATTTGTGTATTTAGAAAAGAGTAGTTAAAAGATAATAAAGTAGTAGTAGTTATAAGAGTTAGGTGAAAGGAAAAAACACCACGTTAAAAGCTTGACTACCATTCATTAAATGAATTCCTAAAACTTGTCAAAGGTATCTAAACAATACTAGTAAGGTACAACAATAAGTATGCCTTAATCTCAAATGTACGGTTCCTTTGTAACCATTCCGCTCTACCCGGGTTCAAATTTTCAATACTACTTTACAACAGCTTATATGGAGTGATATGGACATTAAGGATCTATAGCCGGCCCCAACTTGCTTAAATATGAGTTGGAGTGTACTTTACAACAACTATGCTTCAAACCTAAACTAGTTGAGGTCAGCTATATGAACACTCAATATACATTCCGCTCCATTTGGAACAGTTCCATTCCAATACTCAGATAACTATTAAAACATTCTCTGTTACTAAACGTTTTCAATATTTTCTACCGATATACAAATCAGAAATGAACTAAAAGACTCCTGGCAAACAACATACTTAATATAAGTGTAGCAACAAAATAAACCTTAATCATAGTCATTGGAATTACCATGGTTCTTGTGCTTCATTTATAATTTGTTTTATGCTATTTTCACAAGAATATCGAGCAATTGTAGGTCCTTCGATACAACTTTGTCCACGTGATTGAATTGTTTACCTCATCCATTAACATTCAACCATCATGATGTCACACTGGTGCATTTGAACTTCTAACATAGACATTTCCAAACTATAATTCAGGGCCTTCTTTCCCTTTAGCTGCTTCTACATGTGCTACTTGTACTGTTAGAATAGAAATAAGTATTTTCTACTTAGAATAGGAATAGGAATAAGAATAGGAATCCTAGTTGGAAAAGGATTCCAATGTAGTGTCTATAAATAGGGTTTCAATGTAACTATTTAGATACACAATTCAATAATATTTTTCCCATATATTTCTCACATGGTATCAGAGCAGGGCCCGTCTCACCCATGTTGGGACCCCCAAAATCAAAAATTGCCCACGCACCAGATGCTAAGCACTGGGCATGAGGTGGGGTGTTAAAGAATGACAAAAGTCCCACATCAGTGGTTAATGAGATGGGTGGACTCCTTATAAGGCTTGGGCAATCCTCCTCCCTTTGAGCTAGTTTTTCGGGTGTGAGTTAGGCCTAAGACCAAATCTAACATGGTATCAGAGCAGGGCCCGTCTCACCCGATATTGGTACTTGGGAGCTTGTCTCCCTTCCTGCAGGTAAATCTATTGTTGGTTGTCGTTGGGTTTATGCAGTCAAAATTGGTCCAAACAGTCAGGTTGATCGACTTAAGGCTCGCCTTGTTGCCAAAGGGTATACTCAGATATTTGCGCTAGATTATAGTGACACTTTCGCTCCTATGGCTAAAATAGCATATGTTCGTCTTTTTCTATCTATGGTTGTCGTTCGTCATTGGCCTCTTCATCAGTTGGACATTAAGAATGCTTTTTTGCATGGTGATCTTGAGGAAGAAGTCTATATGGAGCAACCATCTAGTTTTGTTGTCAGGGGGAGTCTAGTAGCCTTGTGTGTCGATTGCGTAGATCACTCTATGGTCTGAAACAGTCTCCTCGAGCTTGGTTTGGGAAGTTCAGCACAGTAATTCAGGAGTTTGGCATGACTCGTAGTGGAGCTGATCACTCTGTGTTTTATCGGCATTCTGCACCAAGTTGATGTATCTATTTGGTTGTTTACGTTGATGATATTGTTATCACCGGTAATGATCAAGATGGTATCACTGATTTGAAGCAACATCTCTTTAAGCACTTCCAGACTAAAGACCTTGGCAGATTGAAATATTTTTTAGGTATTGAGGTTGCTCAATCTAGATCAGGTATTGTTATTTCTCAACGCAAGTATGCCTTAGACATTCTTGAGGAGACAGGAATGATGAGATGTAGACCTATTGACACTCTTATGGATTCGAATGTTAAACTCCTTCCAGGACAGGGGGAGCCACTTAGTAATCCTGAAAGGTATAGACGGCTTGTTGGAAAGTTGAATTATCTCAACCTGACATCTCTTTTCCTGTGAGTGTTGTGAGTGTTGTAAGTCAGTTTATGACTTCCCCTTGTGATAGTCATTGGGAAGCAGTTGTTCGTATTCTGCGATATATAAAGTCAGCTCCCGGTAAAGGACTACTCTTTGAGGATCAAGGCCATGAGCATATCATTGGATATACAGACGCTGATTGGGTAGGATCACCCTCTGACAGACGTTCGACATCCGGATATTGTGTTTTAGTAGGAGGTAATTTGGTGTCGTGGAAGACTAAGAAACAGAAAGTGGTTGCTCGATCTAGTGCAGAATCAGAATATCGAGCAATGGCGACAGCAACTTGTGAGCTAGTTTGGATCAAACAGTTGCTGGGAGAACTAAAATTTGGCAAAATTGATCAGATGGAACTTGTGTGTGATAATCAAGCGGCTCTTCATATCGCATCAAATCCAGTGTTTCATGAAAGGACTAAGCACATTGAAATTGACTGTCACTTTGTCAGAGAAAAGATACTCTTGGGAGATATTGTTACGAAATTTGTGAAGTCAAATGATCAGCTTGCAGATATCTTCACCAAGTCCCTCACATGTCCTCGTATTAATTACATCTGTAACAAGCTAGGTACATATGATTTGTATGCACCAGCTGGGGGAGTGTTAGAATAGAAATAAGTATTTCCTACTTAGAATAGGAATAGGAATAAGAATAGGAATCCTAGTTGGAAAAGAATTCCAATGTAGTGTCTATAAATAGGGTCTCAATGTAACTATATAGATACACAATTCAATAATATTTTTCCCATATATTTCTCACATGTACCTTCTCATAATCATCACTTATTTTGTCTAGTTTTGTATGACCACACCATCCTACCATTCACATTTTTACAACACTCATTTTTTCGATATGTCGGACCTCAGATACCCACACTCACGCCATATACCATTTGGTCTCATAAATGTCTTGTAAAACCTTTCTTTCACTCTGGTATGTATCTCCTTATCGCATAACACTCCTCCATTTCAACTATATGATTTAAACTTATTGTTGGGTCTTTGTCTATAAGACTATCACACCATTGACGTGGAAACTGAGCCTAGACATATGAACGGTCTATGTGAACTCACTTTGATAATCTCACCTGAATAAAAGAGTGTTGTGTTAAATTAACGATCAACGTAGTACTAGTTTATCCTCATAGTAAAGGAATTAATAAGAGAAAAACGGTATTAAATATTTTGTAATGTCCCGAAATGAAGTGTCATATAAATTGGGAGAAAAAGAGTGTTGATATCAATCAAGTCTTCAACAACAGAACCAAGGATAGTTGGCAGGGGGATCTGTATATGACTAAATTCTAAATTGAAAGCTAAACTAGCAAGTAAAACGGATGGATCTTGAATCCTCTTCAAATAAAAACTCAAAAACACAAGTACTTGTAGATTTAAACTTAGCACCTAAAAGCACAAAAAACATGTTTAAAAGAAAAGTGAAAGGACCTAAATGAAATAGGAACGTTTTGCTTAGTCTCTGAGTATGAGAGTATGATATCCTGACAACTTGTCAGTGACAAGTATCAAACTTTTATAATCAATTATCCAAATTGAACTATGCATAATTCAGTAGGGATTCCCTTATTGTTCTTGAGTACTCCCTTCGTTTCTCATTTTTTGTGAAGATGTTTGACTGAGCATGACATCTACAATATTCCTTTGATATATTTAGAACTATTTAGTGGTTGAAAAGAGATATCACGTCAAAGTTAAGGAGGGAATAATTTAATACATCTTAAATTCTTAAAAACTGTGATAAATTTATAAAAATAGAATGGTTCCAAACATTTTGGGAAGTCCTAAAATGGGAAAAGAGTTGCATAAATTGTAACATAGGGAGTACAAATATTTCAAGATGCAGAATATTATTTATTTCTCTTTTGAAAATTGGTAATTCATATTCCAAAGCATTAAGGGTTATGCTGGCATAGGAACAGAACTCAAGTGAAATGGGACTTCAGTGTGGTTCTTGTTGTCTTCTCATAAACAAACTAGAGTTCTCACCAGTCACCATACAACATGTTCCTCAAAGAGTGAAGTATCAATTTAAGTATAAACAATCAATTATGGAACGCCAACATAACTCAAGAAATTACCAGCTCACAGACAAAATCTCTAACTCAACCCCTGCTGTTACAGCTCAAATCGATGTCAGCTACAAATTGTATGGAGTCTTTGATCAAAGATATTAATTTATCACACCTTGTGTTCCCAATCAGCCGTACTTGTAGGATTGAAGGAAAGGATAAATAAAGTAGAAGAAAATAGAAGTTGCTCCACAGCCTAAACATCAATGTGAACACTTAAGACTGCCTTTCCGCAATGTCCCCCGGACTTTGGTCTAGTGATAAGAGCATAGCAAGTATTATATGGGTTAGGCGCACATCACAGGTTAGAAGCATGTTGCAGAAAAAACACTTGTATTTAAGTGGAGAAGGATAGAGGATCGGGTTCATTATCCACTGGATTCCAAGCCGTGTGTCAATGACCATCGGGAATCTTTCAGTTGTCAGAAATAAGAAAATTCCTTTACGAAATGGCTTCAATCGCAAGCGTATGTGCCCAAAAGGATACTTTGAACATTAGGTTTTTAATGTAGGTCAAGAGAGTAGAGCGCACACCTATAATGGACAGCAAAGATGCTGTATATTAGAGACTGATTTTGTGCTGGTATCCAGCTGAATTCAGAAACAAATCCTTAGGGATTTGAAAGCCTTTGGAGTAGCCAAAGGATCAGCAATAAATTGAAGCATCAAGAAGGAAACAAGTAAACAGAAGATTCCCTGCCAGCCTGGCAACGAATATCAAAAAGAAGAAAAGGTCTAGGAATTCTAGTTAATAAAAAGCTTCAACAGAAACTTGCGCTAAATAGAGAGGCCCCTTTAGCTTCGGTGTGTGTGTGTATTCCTATGGCTTTCTTTTATCCTCTTTGTCTATGGCCTATGCCAATTGGTCTTATACAGATGAATTGCGTGTATTGGTTCAGACAAATCCATTTTCTATAAAAAATCAAAAACAAAGAATTCCATGCCTTTATTGACCTGACATCAGTGAGCTAAAGATGTGTAATATCCTATCTAATAAACCTCTTCCCATTCTCACGGTCAACCTCCCACACCTCCTCACTAGGGTATCTATGCTCCTCCTCTTCACATGCATGAATCATCTTAGTCTCGCTTTGTGCAACTTGCCCAACCACGGAGGTCACTCCCACCATGCCTTGTATATCTTTGTTCTTAATTTTTTTTCTCCTAGTATGCCCCGATATCCATCGAATCCTCCTCATTCTGCTATCTTCATCTTCTAAACGTGAGAGTTCTTGACAGGTAACACCTAACCTCGTATAACATAGTTGGTCTAACTACCATTCTATAGAACTTACCTTTAAGGCTCGGTGACACATTTTTATCACATAGGACATCGAAAGCGAGCCTCTATTTCATCCACCCCGCTCCAATATTATGTGCGACATCCTCGTCGATGTTTCCATTTTCTTTGATTATAGACCCAAGATGCTTAAAGCTTCCTCTCGTGGCGGTCACTTGTGTATCGATCCTCACTTCCCTATCTCCCTTGGTGTCATTGAAATTGCACTTCATGTACTCTGTTTTAGTCTTGCTCAACCTAAAGCCTTTGGACTCTAGAATGTGTATCCAAACTTCTCCATACTATGTCATCTCTTTTACAAATATCACTTTTTTCCTAGCTTCTTTCTTATCTTTTTATCTTTACCTTCAACTTTTTCCCTTTAATTTGTGAACTAGATTTCCTTTTAGATAATAATAATATTATTAATCGAATTTAAAATATGAAAACTCATTAATAACAGTTGTAAATTGAATGACATTTCTTGATGCCTTGAGTGAAACTTTTTACTTCATCCCAAAAAAAAAAACTTTCCCATCAATCTCTCAAACTACCAACATGTATCTACAGAGTTTATAGGTAAAATGTCCAGAAACCCTATTTTCTCTTTTTTAGTAAAAAGAAGACAAAATAACAAAAAGCACCATTTGCATTTAACACACACACAGGTAAAAAAAAAATGCTAGAATAATTTTCCAAAAGAATCATCACGATAACAAAATGATAGTTTATCACAAGTAAATTAAAACCAGCCTCTACAAAGATTTAAACTTTAAGAACAAAAAATTACCCCATTTGATCATACCACACTAATAATTGAAATGCAGAAAAACAAAGAAACAAAAATCCAGACAAGCATAAATTCAGACCTGTATGAGCAAAAAAATCAAATCTTTCTGCAATTAAACTCCAGAAGATGCCAAAAAATAAGACAAGAAAGCTTCATAAGGTGTACAAACATACCCAGAACAAGTTTTGGAATCAAGATCCAACTTTGAATCAAAAATTAATCCGAAAAAACAACCTTAAAGAATGGGGAAAAAAAGAGAGAACGAGAGAGAGATTTAGGACATGCCTTTATTTAGAACATAGGTAAATTATTGGATCGTTGTTTCACTTGAGACTGTGTACCAAAAAAAATTGGGTGAAAAATACGGGATGATAGTGTAGCTGTGATGAGGAGTGAGATTCGGATACGAGGAAATATGTGAAATGACGATAATAACTCCACGCACGGACAGGTCCTAGTTCCTACTCTTTTTGGTTGGTTTGGTAATTTAAATTCACAATCTTTAAAATTTGAGGTGTGGAATGTTTATTATTCGAGTAACTCTCTGTTAGTATTATATTATAAACTTAGTTTCTGGCAGTAATTGTAAATCTTTTACATTTTATATGGAAATAGTTTAAAGTATAGCCAAATCTCTTTGATAAGTGATATAGCAAGGTGTTGTTACACATATATACTGACGATTTAGATGTTATAAATAAAAGTATGTATAAAAAAAAAAAATCATAGTTTTATGTTATAAATGAAAAAAAAAAGTTAAGTTTAAAATCACAATTATTTTTCATAATTTATTAATTAAAAATTAAAAAGACTAATACATTACTAATAAATTTATGATTAGTTATACTATACCGATAAAAAATTAAAATCTAAGAAACATATGCATTTTTAATTAAAGTTTAAAATTTTCAAGTTTGACGTAAAAACTCTATAATTATAGGTTATTTATTTGAATAAACGAAGACTTTTGTCCATACTTTCACCGAAAGGATATTCAATAGTTTTCTCTGGAAGATTGTCTAAGAGCATAGCAATTGACTCTTCTATCTTACCTCAAGTAGCTTACTATGTGTATAACATTAAAGATGATTGTCATAAATATTTTAATATTTTATTTTATACATAATATATTTTTTACATAATATTATTGCATAATATTTAAGTAATTTTTCAAAGAGTGTATTGCTATAATGAATGTCGTTGTATTAATTTTACCAGTAAAATGTTGATATGGAAAGTAAAATATAGGGAAAATTACGTGGTTAAGCAAATTTATAGTACTTAATTACTCATCATAGTTATAGTTTGCTATAATTATCACTCGCGACTAACATTATACATTAATTACGTGGGCTGACTTGGGTTTGTATAATTAGCCACGTTTGTATATGTATAATTCGCCACATTTGTATAATGCGCAGCTAACAATTCTTTGTTTGATTTGTATTTGTATACGATTGTTTGTATTTGTATATGACGATGATTTCCTTTGATTTTTCAGTTTTGTCATCATATACATTCAATCTTTTTGTGTATACCTTTTAAAAGTTTGTATAAAAGTGTTGTTTTTGGATTTTGTATAATATGATTTATATAATATAATTTGTATAATATATTTTGCATAATTGTTTAAAGTTCATATATTTATATTTGTATCAATTTTTTATTTCGAGTTTTATTATATTTGTATAATTTTAGACTTTATATTACTCAATTATACAAAACACGTGAATTATACAAACGTACCTGCGAATTATACAAATTATTGTCCTCTCTCGCTCGCCTCTCTCCTCCCTCTCCCAGTCTAGCTCGCCTCTCTCCTCCCTCTCCCAATCTCGCTCGCCTCTCTGCTCCCTCTCCCAATCTCTCTTGCCATATATACAAATGCATATGTATAATATACAATTATCTAATCGGTATACATATGCAATTCACCTTTCTTCCACTCTTTACCCTCTCTCGCTCGCCTCTCTCCTCCCTATAACATGTAGCTACGAATTGTAATTATCAAACTATAGCTATGGTGAGTAATTAAGCTATTTTTGAGTGGCTATATGTGAAAGTTCCTCTAAAATATAACATGGAAAATTGATTATGAAGAAAAAAAAATCATACCAATATAGTGAAATAATGTTATAAAGAGGTTGATTGTATCATTTTACCTGTTTCAAATAAATTAAAAAAAATATATGAAAATAGTTCTTGTATAATTATACGCATTTTCACTTCTTGTATTTATCACTTTTATATTTGTTTTATACGTTCAAAATTTTTGACTCATACCCATATGCCTTTAATCTAGAGTTCTTTGTTATAGTTGTTAAAAAAAATGTCACAACCTAAAAACCTAAAATCTAAAAGGCTGTGATAATATCTATATTAGTGATGGTAAATGGCCCATTTTGATTAGAATTGGGTAAATTAAAAACGGATCGAGCTAAACTTAATTAAATTACAATTCTTCCATATAAATATGGATAAAAATGAATTTGAAAAGATTTAAATTGGATAAAATGGTCCTAACTTGTTTAATCCCCTAAAATTAAAACCTTTAAGCCTTTGGCTAAGTTAATTGAAATCAACTTTAACAATAATTTCTTTTACACATAATACAAACCCAAAAATGTATTTCACAACATCATTCCTGTTAGTTTACTTTAGAGGAAAATAACGGACGCAAATAAATACATCAAAATATATATCTTTACTACATACCCTTTCTCATGCTAAGTTATAATTAATTAGTATAAATTCTTGTTAGAAAATTATATGCACAGCGAAAGCATATCAGAACTTACTTCTTATATGAATAATAGATAACCAAATCGTTTATGCTAGAACACATAAACCTACTGAAATTTAATTCAAGAATTACCTCTTGAAGCGTGAGCAGATACCTTCAAGCGAATCCACATAATAGACAACAACTTTGCAGTCTTCTACAATGATCCCAAGTTCACATCCGAACTCTCTCAATACTTGTGTGGACAAGTATGAATAGAAAACTAATATGTAATTCCCCATGTTAAGATTACAGATATTAAACACTTATGTAATTCCCCATGTTAAGATTACATATATTAATCAATAAATTAAATAACTGACGAATTCAATTTAATGATTAATTTTCTTTAGAGCACTACTTAACTTATTTCATGTGTCGGATTCATAAATCCACTTGCAAGGTTTGACACGATGAAAACTTATAAGTTTCTCAAAAAGGCATATCAATCAATCTCTATAACGAGACATGGATTCCATCAACTAACTTATTATTTCACCAATATATATTATTATCATCCAATCTACCAAGCATATTGATCCATCTCAGAATCTCACCTTTTAATAAATCAAAACAATAATTAATATATACAGATCATAATAGTTATATCAAGATTAAAAATATAAGTACATTTAATAGTTTAGAGAACATGCTTTTGTCAGTCAGTCTAAAACAACTATCTCTACTCGGTCCCGTTCAATACATACAAAATGCACTAGCACAAGAAGTTGAAACTATACTGTTCCCATAATCAAGATAAATTACATATAATTTTGTGCTACAATCGTACCGATGACATGTCCAATTTCCATCCTAGATTGTGAACAAAAACTTTATACTTATAAGAACCGATGATTTAATCCTCTGTGTATAAGCTAAAACTCTACACACTAAATCATCTACTATATAAGTAAACAGACACCATAAACGAATATATAATCTATTAAAACTGAGCAAATATTTATTCGATAATAAATATTATATCTTAACATATGGTTAATAGTATATATCCCAACAATTCTAACTTCAGTTTATAATTTAATCATGATAAAATATACTAATAATTTAATACAACTATTTAATGCTTATAAATCTTTACTACATTTCATATCCCCGATCTTTAAGAAGAAAAAGAAATCAATAATTATAACAGAAAATATTCCTTCTTATCCAAGTCCTTAAAAAATAATCACAATCATGAAATTTTAAAGTTTTACAAGTGAATAGGGTGTTCATAATTTGATAATTGAACCAAATTAAAAAAAAATTGGATGATTAGATTAATCGACATTTTTTTTAAAATTTGGTTTAGTTTGATTTTAAATTTCAATTTTTTTTTTTATTAATTGGCCCAAACAATGTTTGAAATTTTAAAATCAACTAAAATTTTACCTTATATTAATTGTACTAAAGTGAAAATAAACTCATACATATAATATTTAAGATGCTTAACATTTAGATGGAATCTACCCAACATTTAAAGTAATTTTAGCACAAAAAATATATGGGAAAGCTCAACATTAAAAGGTTATAGTTTCTTAGATCCGTGAGTTTCTAGTTGTTGTCGAAGTAGCGACGTGTATCAGTGAACTGATTTCCTCCTGTATCAATTTGTGTCGGGTCGTGTTTGGGTTAGATTATATATATTGTGTTGAACTTATTTTATTTAATTAGTTTAGTATACGTGTTCTGCACGCGTATCTTACGTTAATCAATAAAAAATAAAAATAAACTTCGAGATGTCCGTATTCTCTCACTCTTTATTGTATATTTTTGTTTCTTTTTTCAACTTGGGTCAAATCATGTACATTGTGTTGAACTCGTTTTATTTGTAGAAGATGAAGAATCGGAAGCTTGTATAAACTTCGAGACATTCTCCTCCTCTCACTCTTTGTTGTCTATATATGTTTTTTTTTCTGTTTGTGTTGGGTCGTATTTTTTGGATCAGATTATGCACATTGTGTTGAACTCATTTTATTTAACTAGTTTAGTGTACGTGCTCTGTACGCATGTCTTTCATTAATCAATAAAATTATATATTTAAATAAAAATATTAAAAAGTAACAATTGATATTAAAATATATGCTATATCTATTTAAAAGATATAAATAAATATTGTACCTTAAATATATTATTGTCTGTTGTATCTCACTTTATCTTCTTCTTCTTTGCAAATATTTTGTTGAGCTTATATTCTCTTTTACCGCTTAGACTAGATAATCATTAATAAATTTATCGTCAATATTGATAATTTTCTTTAAAGTGCAACATATATTTATTCATGTGAAATATAATGCTGCGAAAACTACAATTCAAATTTTAGTTTAATTTGACATTATGATTTATTTGTTATCATTATAAATCACAAATATATTTGAATTAATGAACAAATCTTCTGATTAGTAAACAATGTTAACTTTGATACAATAATTTTTATTTTTTTTAATCTAAGTATGCTTTCGAGAAAAAAAAAAAGGGTATTAACTTCAATAGATCATATGTACAAATATTTAATAAACACTTTAACAACACAAATAGTATTAATTTAAATGAGAAATAAAATTCAGAAAAAATC